TTTTGCAGTAACCTTCCCCCAGGAGTAGGAAGAGAATGGCGATTTTACAGTATCCTTCCCCTGGAGTGGATGGAGATATTACAGTATCATTCCCCTGCCACGCCCACCAAGCCACACCATGCCCATCAAACCGTACCCACAGAACTGGTAGTAAAAAAAAAAAAAAGAATCCCACCACCATGCCATTACATTCAAAGCACTCTTCTTCCTGTCAACTGGTTTCTCATAAGTAGGCACATTAAAACATCACTATTGCTGTTCTGCCAGGTGTCAGCATTTTCCAAGAAATGACTTGCTGCCATATAAGTGTATTCACTTGAGCAAGCGTGACAATGCCTGCTACCTCCCTTTGTCTGTACCTAACTACGGTATAAAACTGTGGGAACTGGTGCCTGGATAATAAAAGAGGAATGAAAAACCACAGCAAAAGATGACTTAAGGGGCAAACACAGCCTCAGATTTAGGCTCCCAAACGGGTACAAAGCTTTATGAAGTCCTTTGGAATAATATGAAAATATTTAATTACATTCTTACAGAGACCCATTCGTTGCTTTTAGACACCATCCATTTATTCAAGACAGTTGCTCAGATGCCCCTTAATTAACTATTAATCATTATGTGGTTTGCTACCAAGGGAATTTCTACCCACACAAGTGTTTCCTTCTGGTGGTGTTTACAGGGCAAAGTAGACAAGATGGAGCCATATCTCAGGCCAAAATCCTGTGAAGTACAGGAGATAGGTAAGAAAGGGAACATTTCTTCCCATGGATTGTACTCCTATCCCTGCCTTCTGTGCTTTTCTTCAGCTGTTTCTCTCCAATCAAGAGTTCCTTAGGCTTCTTTTTTTTTGGGGGGGGGGGGGGGGTAACTGTTGAAACTTTTTAAAAGAGATGTGTGGGATTGCTCTTTAAGGAAACACTAAAATAAAATTTGACAGAGAAATAGAAAACACAAATCATTATTTTTCAGGGCTGTCTTTTGTGAAAACCCTTAGTATAATCTGCATTCCTGTTTAGTTTAAATTCTCTTTTATGAAAACAGTCTGCAGTGAAGAAATTTTTTTCAGTACCAACCATTGTCTAATTTACACCTGTGAATTACAATAAGTAGCAAAATGGAAATGGTGGATGGAAAAGGTGTGGATGCCATATGGTTACAGATTAATATAAAAAATCTGTGACTTGTTCTATATGGAATTATTTTAGCAAACTATGTGTGAGAGCGAGCTGCCATATGCAAAACATCACACACACACACACACACACACACACACACACACACACTTCTGATGAATGCTAACCAAATGCTGGTAATTTCAAAGCAATTCAAGCTTTAGATCAGTGGCTAACAATTGTCCAAATAGGGTCATAATATGCAAAACCTTCCTCCTCCTCAGATGGCCAGAACTAGTGCTTTGAAATTTTAGCAGAAAATTGTTTAAGTCTCTCTCAGTATATTTTGGAACCACTGTGGACCCTGTTAGGTTTATATTCACACTGCCATTATTTGTTTACAATTAGTGCTATTTTAGCAAATACATAATGCCAGTTTGGTCTAATGGTTAAGGCACCAAATTAGAAGCCAGGAGACTGTGAGTTATAGTCCTGCCTTAGGCATAAAAACCAGCTGGGTGACTGTAGGCCAGTCACTCTCTCTTCTCAGCCTAACTCACCTCAGAGGAGTTGTGGGGAAAATAGGAGGAAGGAGTATTATGTATGTTTCCCACCTTGAATTATTCATAAAAATAATAAAGGCAGGATATAAATAAACAAATGATCCTACTTCAACACAGGACAGTTATGACCTGTAATAAAGTAAATAAGACCCATTCTTGTTATATATACAAGAATATGCATGAGGATTATATATCTTTTCAGGTCTGGCAGCTTTTCTGTTAAGATTGGCCCTGTTGGAAAAAGAATATGGTTATCTACACAGCCTCGGAGAAATAGCGGTACACCCAAGTGTGTTTTTGAAGTTACTCAATACAAATACCAGCAATGCATGATTGGAAATGGTCAATGCAGTGATGTCAAGTCACAGAGGGGGAAAATAGTCCACATTCAGTACAGAAATATATGTACTGTACTGAATTTGCACTGTTTAATAAAGTGTAGTGGTTCCACTGTAAATTCTCAGTCTTATTCACTCTAGTGAAGAAAACTATAGCAAATGTCTAGGCATCCATGAGAAAAAAAATTAAGGGGTAGTATGTTAGTGGTGAAATTCATGCTATGATTCTGTAATGCAAATTTATATATAGCTGTGTTATGATGCCATAATGTATGTTTCATCATTTTGGATTCATTGTACTTGGGAACAGACATCAATGGCAAAATATTGAGAGGAATGTATCATGAATCTATAGAAACCCTCATTTTTAATTTTAACTTCTCTTGTAAAATCAGATAACAAACTGCACTTTCTTGGTAACAACCCTAACTTTTTCTCTGGTAGGCAATAAATAGCAGCCAATATGGCTGATATTACAAAAACACACACTACAATCTGCAAAGATGAGTTTATGATTGTGACAAGAATTCCAAAAAATAAAAAAATAAAGACAGCAGCCAACCCAGGTGTGAAAATGCTAAAAGGCAGAGATGATAGGAGGAAATACTTTGAAGTACCATCATTTCAATTCATCTGGATAAAAGAATATTTACATGTATAGATATGACTTAAGGTTTTCTCTTTTTTTTTTTTTTTGAAAAAATATTGAAAAAATAAACATTACATGATGTTAGTTTACTATCCACTGCATCTTTGATCAAACCTCAGTTTGAACAATCTAGTCATTTTCTCTTAATGTATAGAAAAGCACATCCACAGTTGTCTTCATTGTGCTCCAATTGTGAATGATGACTACTTATTAAAGCATGATGTGCCATGTAGCTATTTCAATTCATTTCCATTCTAATTTGCTCTATAAAAATTCCAGTACACTGTTGCAATAAACATATAAGACAATTTGATTTTAATGTAAAAAACATACATTTCACAGGCTGAAGATTTGCTGTCCCTGGACAGCGTTAGAATCCAACTTTCATTAACTCATCACTACAGCAAGTAATCAGGAAAAACAGGAATTAAACAGTTTCTGCATCACTGTCATCAAAACAACATAATTTTTAAATGAAGACAGCATGGAACAGTAACAGATTTTGCTACAGTGTAATTTGTCCTGTTATAAGGTCCAAAAAAACTTTTCAGAAGACTATCAGAATATATATTAATATATACATTTTTAAAAGTTTATAAATGATACTTGTTTAAAGCTATATATGGGCTGAAGAGATCATATAAATATAAACTGCAATACAAACTGAGTCTCCCTTCATAAGGAAAGAAACTTGAACTTCTAATTTTCAACAAAAACCTCTTGGCAATTTTAAGGGCAATATTTCTTACTCTCATCGGTATTATTAAATGTGCTGTTTTAAAATTAGATGATATAGACAGAAACACGTGTAACATGTAAGAAAACTCATACTTACTGTCCATAATACAAATTGTAACTGTGAATCACTGTAATTAATAAAAGATGGAAGTTACTCTGACTCACAATTACAATTTGTATTATGGACAGTAAGTATGAGTTTCTCTTGATATTAGCTACTGGACTGTTTTAAAATTTTCCAAATCTTAGAAACCTAGCCTTTTTCATCCTACACTTAACCCAGCATTGCTTTAGTTTTTAAAAAGGCACTTTATCCAAATGAATACTTTGAAAAAGTGCAGAAGCCTCTTAGCTTTGTCAGTCAAACAAGTATTTCTCGTTCTTAACCTAATTTAAACAGGGAATTCTGATAACTCAAATGATTAGAAAGGGAATGTTGATTGGGGGACTGACAAAGAATATATCTAAGTTTACAAAAAATATTTATATGAAATAGCTCTGCAGCTCATCTTACTTTACTTATTGAGTTTGCAATGTAATTCACTCATCTCCATATTCTTAAGTGCAGTCTAAGTGGCTCAAATAGATTTATGCACACTTTATTTGTTTATAATAGATCATATCTCTTGCAACATCATTTCGAGATAGTGGGGATTTATAGTCCAAGAGACACTTTCAAATGGAGTTAATGCATGGTATCAGGCTTTAAGAAGTTAAAAGGTTGACTGGATGCTGCTGAACAAGACTTGCAGTCATTCTGTCTTGTAAATTGGTATTTAGATTACTAATGATTCAAGCAGGAAACAAATTTGGCTACTGACATCACGAAGAACAATAATCCTTTTTTTCCATAATTCAGAATAAAAGTCATTTTGTAAATGGGAACCTAGATAAACATGTGCAACAGCCAAGCCATCTTCAAAGAACTGGTTTTCCACTTATTCCCTGAATGGGAAGCATTTTAAAGAGCAAGAATATTCCTTTTTCATAGCCTTTGTTTTCAACTGAAAAGGCTGATCAAATGAGTTGGAAAAAGTTAGAGAGTAGTCAATGTTGAATTCAATATGATGGTTCCATCTTTGCTATATTTGAAAAATAATTTAAATACAGGTTCTAATTAATAGCTTTTAAAATAAATTACCAATTTTCTGCCTTCACAGAATATAAAAAGATACGGTGGGACAAATACTTTCAGATGACCAGAGCAAATACTCACAAGACATGTAATTAAAAAAGAGAAATAACCAACTCAAAAACAGGGGATTTATTCAGACTGACTTTCTTGATCTCCAGAATTACGAACGATTAAAAAACAAAATAATTTCATGTTTTATATATTATATTTACATGTTTAATTAATGCATTTTAAAGGTTCTGCATTATGTTTTTCTTGCTATTTACTGTTAATATTTTAAATAACATTTAGCCAGATAAGAGAATTCTGCTTAATAGTAGGATAAAAATGCAAATTTTATTTATGTAAACATTTTACATCGATACCTTAACCAATCCCAATTTAGTAGTTTAATGGGTGTAAGGCAAATAATTGTAAAAATGTAGCATGTATAGCCAGTTAAAAAAATATTAAGAAAAATACTTATAGAATCATCTAAACTTTATTGTTTTACATCTTGACACAATATTGTTTCAAGGTCACTTCAAAAGAATATTAAAATGGCACACAGACATGTACAATGAAAAACTCAATTTTGTTTTAAATACAATAGGTTTCTTGAATTCGTCACAGATAGGTTCTCTTGGGCTACAACAGTTTTGGCGCAGCTGACTCAGATTGTGAACTAAGCCCAATTTTCAAATCCGTGCCACTATCTGTTTAAAATAAAACAAGCATGGTCAATATATTAATTTTATTATTACTATCATCACAAGCATTCTGTTTATCAAAGACAGTTTGGAGAAGGAATACTAGGCCATCTTAACTTCAAAGTAGTGTTGTTCTATTCTTCTGCAAAATGCAGTGAGGTTACTGTAGCCTTTCACTTTTACCGACAATTCATCGCTGATCAACTGGGTAGTAAGGATTGTGAACAGATGTCCAAATACCAAAGCATCTAATTCAGTTGGCCTACGAACAAAAGAAAATTAGTATGTTGGATGAGAGAACACAACCACTGGTAGTCACATTAGGCATTAGTGCCAGTTGTATATCCAGACCACGGCATACTATCTTGACCATTCCATTTTGAGGAGAAAATGCTATCAAACTGGCTTTATTCCACCTCTTCTTCTTAAAATGGTGATAGAAGGTTGCCAGTTCAAGGCTTGAAAACTACAACAGTGATGAAGAAGCATGTAAATGCTTCACCAAGTCAGAGCCATGCCTGCCTTAATCATGGAGAAATTGGCGGGCTGCAGTGATGTTAATGAAGGCAAAACCAAAAAAAACTGTATTTGGCACCCAAGTACCCTGTCACTGCAGAGCAGCAATGACTTTTTGTTTTCTGAGTTCTGTCCTTTTAATCTGAGGATCAAGAGGTAGGCTGCATTCAAGCTTCATGTTAATATAAGTGAATATAAAAAGTCTCATCCTCTCCTCTCTCTCTTTCTCTCTCTCTCTCTCTCTCTCTCTCTCACACACACACACACACACACACACACACCATCAAACGAGATATTCTGAGAGAATGGAATTGTAATCAATTCAAAGGATCAAAGCATTTAAAATATGAATTAAATACTATTTTTAAACATATTATTTAGGGATATAATCAAAGAATAACTTAGAATGGAAATACACTAGCAGTGGTAGCATTTCTTTAATCTAACCTAGATTTTAGAGTGTGTTACAGAGGTAGACAAAAATCAAGTTTTTAAAAACTTTTTGGAAACGCCATTTTATTGAAATTCTTCACATAGTGCTTTCTAATTTGACCCTATTAACCTTCCTAGATGTTCCTCCTTGCCTCCTTCCGTAGCTCTCTCAAGTTGCCCAGAGGTCATCTAGTCATTCCTTGATTCATAAATTAAGAAACCCAGAAACACAGAAAGAAGTTGTTTCCTGCTTCTTAGCTCCTGGACGAATAGGCAGCTACCATGATGCCCTTTTTACCAAAAGTTAGAAAAGAGAAGAGATTTTATTTCATCTATTAAAAAAAGAAAGACAGAAACATCTCCCCATCATTTGAAGAATGTCTTCTTGGCAGAACTCTTAAATTAAATAACTTACTTCTTATTGAAGAAATATAGCTGTGTCCCAAGTCTTTGAGAAAGTGCTTCACAACACTGATCTACCTCTTCAAGTACCTAAAAAGAACATAGATATCACAGAAGAGCAGAAAATAATTTTAATGAAGTACTAGAGCAACAAAATCTTTAGTTAAAAATACGATAAGATTTTTAATCATATTTGTCCTACAAAGTTCTACAAAAAGGTATCAAATTCGCGGCATCATGTTATTGTCACGTGACATATCACAACTTTTTCCCCTTCACTAAAATGGGGGTAGGCATGGCCAGCCCGTGGCGCATCCAACCCATGGGCCGCAAGTTTAACACCTCTGCTTTAAATGCAACAATGATGTATTTGCACCTGTTAAAAATCTAACAGGATTTATCCTTAGCATGTTTCCAGACCAAGTATTTAGATTCAACCCAGAGACAAACCTATACAAATAACCTCATATATAATTTTTGTGAACACTTGGGCTTTTTCCTCCGAGCTTCTTTCAAGAAGCCTTCATCCAAAGATTAAAAGGACATCTAGAATAACATCTGATAGCTGTTGCTGTTAAAAAAAAATAACCATGATGTACATACCTGAGAGCATTTGGGAACTTCACCTAATACTAACTTATACTGACACCTAACAATCTAATGCCCAATACTATGATCCTATTACTCAAATATTGAAAGGTTTACACTGGGTGCCATTTTTTTCAACATATTGATCTTAAATTTTAAAGCTCTAAACAGCTTATATTCTGGTCATTTAAGTCTCCTGTTTCATTATAAACATATTGTAATATTAAAAATATATATCTAACAAATCAAAATATACCCCACAGTAAAACCATTATCTCAGATCACAGACAGCAGAGGCTAATTTTTATTTAACTTACTAAGAAGATACAAAGAAATCAGTGCCCTCCTGAAACCTTACATTTTACATTTTTTTTGGGGGGGGGGGGGGGGGGAATTAGACTTGGAAAATAATGACTGACCTGATCAAGTGACTTATTGCCCCAGCCAATAGCCTTCATTTTACGCTGGACCTCGCATTGCTTCTGATAGGCCAAAATACGATTCAGAGGCCAAGGATAAGGAGAACCATATCTTGGATGAGTGATCTTTAAAGGAGAGAAAAAAAGGATTTTTGTGTTCTTATGTAACTGAGAAAGCTGTGTTTTAGAAAAGACTAGGCTAACTATGATTTTATTGCCATGGCTCTGCCTCAGAACCTGATTCTGTACAATTATTTATAACTTGCAGCTAAAAAGCAAGCCTTTAAAATTATATTTTAAAAAATTCACTTTAAAACCAGCACGTCCAATAATGACATAGAGTAACCCGAAATGTATATGCAAGCAAAATTAAAGCAAAAAAAAAAAAAAAAATGGTATCATTAGTGGTATAAACCTCTATGTTTCATTTATGAGTAGGGACTTGCAATTGTGAGCAAAAGTGTTTTCTCATTAAAATTTAATTAAGATGTATGCTGCAGAATCACTCACCTCCTGGACTGTAGCATCATCACACCACTGAAGATACAGCTAGAAACCAAAGAATACTAAGCTTCATAACGGAGAAGGTTACACAGTCATTTATTCCTTGCAGCTTTCTCTCCTAGCTCTACCAAACAAGCCATTAATAACATTTAAAACACATAAATACAGCTAGTAGATCTATCACGAAGCAAATACAATATTTCAGTGCACCAAAAATAAGCTGAAAAGGATTGCGAAGTGTACATAAAAGTGTATTGCTTTTTGAGAAGCACTGTTAATCATAAGTCTACCTTTTTTGTTTTATATACAAATGTGGCTTGCAATGTTACAAAGAAAATAGCATTTCACTCCCCCTCTTTGATATAATTCATTTCCCAAGACTGACAAATTACCAGAGTTTTGCCATACCTCCGCTGTCAAAAGCATATTATTGACTAATTCCATGTAGGCTTTCATCTCAGCTTTTTGGACTTCATCCAACCCATCACTAAGTGAATGGCCCTAAGGCAGGAGAGAAGGAAGGAAAGAGAAAGGAGAGCAAAAATTATCCGTTTGGGTCCTTTCCAAACTTTATTGAAGTCCAGGCCTTTCTCTCATTCAAAACAATCCTTTGCAACATTACACACAAGAGGCAGCTTTGTAGACCTCAAAGACTATTAAAGGCTCGGGGGAGGGGGGGGGAAATATTGAATTGAAATCTTTTAAATAGAAAAATACAGAGTGATCAGTAAACAGAACTTTCCAGCTACAGACCTTCCTTTTGCTTTTCTGCTGAGTGGTTTTTATAAATACAACATCTTTGTAAATAAACTGAAGTGAGTTATGGTGATGTAAATACCTTATTAAAATACGATGCATGGGTATCGATTTACAAGACTAAAGAAAGAAGCAAGAGTAAGCATAAATATTGATTATTTGGAATTTTTTAAGATTTAAACAAAGTGTTCTCTATGCAGTAGATTGCAGAAGCCAAGAACTAAGTGCAACATTATTTCTTGGCAACAGCCAAGATAGCAAACAGAGCATGCAGCAATCGGGAATAGCCAGCTCAGTGGTGCATTTCTTCTTTTAAAAAAAAAAAAACTTAATTTCAAAAGCCACAGCAGGCATGGCCAAGGTTCTGAAAATGATCAAAGTTACAATCCAAACCCTCTGGAGGGCACCAGGGTGATGCCTACCCTATCTTAGATGTAGGACAGGATCCAAAGGGCTTTTGGACAGCTCAGGCCTCATCCTATAGAGCCAAGACATACAGAGAAACAATTTGAAAAATGGAAGCCCTTTCAAAGAGACACCTAAACCACTATAACCGGTTAAAAGAAAAAGTTCATCTAAAAAGTATTTCCCTCAGCTGAATCAACTGAGAATTCTTCAGGTATTTACTGTTGAAGCTTTGTTGTATTTGAATATATAATCAGAAATCTATTTACACTAGACAAGTGCTGAGATTCAACATATAATTTAGCTATCTCCCATTTAATTACCATGTAATTAGTTTATAAATTTCTATCTACTGTGTGTCAACTGAAAAAAACCAACAAACAAGTTGATATTATAACATTGCATCATGGTCCTGTATTACAGAATAAACTAAAAACTCTTGAGAAAAAGGTAAAAATAAAAGTCTATTTATTCATCAGTTCAGTTATGGAATTAGCTTTTTAGGCCACAAGAATTAGTAAATTTGGAAGATGGAAAGAAGGAAGGAAAAGTTGCTCACCTAAAATCAAAATTATACGTACACATATACATCCTAAATATATGAGAAATTTAAGCAACAGAAAATATTTAGATATCCATATGACGCATATCACATGTATGAACCCCAGAATATTTGGGTTCATATCATTTGATTCATAATGGAATTAATGCTGTATCCAAGAGAAATATGGATTTGGCTAAAAGATCCTACTGGAAGAAGCATATCTTCACTCCCTCTTCCTCACAGATACCTTGCCATCTCTCTTACTCTCTTGAAACTTGATCACACTCCCAAGATAATTTCAGAGCATGCAAATAGCTAAAGAATGAGAATATTCCATTCTTTCTCCCACCAACGCGAAGACCTAAAATCAGCAATAAGTATGCAGCCAGAAACCTACATTACACAAATTTCCTCTTCAGAAGATGGCCCAGCAACACCAGTTTCTTATCCTGAATAGTGAGGATAGGATCTGGTCAGTCCTTGGTGGGAAATAACCAAGAAATAACAATTCTATAGGTTACATTAGGAAGTATAAAAAAAAATCCACAAGACAATTTTATGCTTGTTCTGTATTGTTGCAAGGAAAACTACATGGCCAAGCACATTACCTCACCAGTTGAATTCTATTCAAAGGAGACTTTACAATAAGTATCATTTAAACTTGTTTCAGTTTAATGATCTCATATGTGCTAACTGGGGAGATCTTGGAGCTGCAACTAAATATAATTAGAAGAAATCAGGATGAGCAACGTGGCTGTAGGACCTCTTTCTGAAATTCTTGAGTAATACAGATTTGTGTGCTAAATGGATAAATAACAGTTTTTTTTGTTCAATATGGAGATGTATCGAGAGAAAGATAAATATTGTAGAGAATATAGTTTGTACAAAAAAAGAGTTCAGCCCAATAATAATAGATAGAAATGTACAAGTCTTTTTACACAGGAGCACTCAGCAGAAAAGTAACCCACTGAATTGGATAACATCTGAAGGTTGTTAATGCAGTATTTTCTGAAAGAACAAAGTATTTTATTTTCAAAGCTATGATTTTATCAAATCACTAGGATAATTTCATAAATGAATAATTAAAACAACTGCTGAATAGGTATTTATCAATATATATATATACACACACACAAACACACACACACACATTTTAATATATATTCTTAAGTTTTCTTAAGTTTTCACAGGTATTTATATGTATGGTATTCAGCTTTGTTCGGGTATTTTCCTACGTCATTATAGTTGTGCTTTTAAAGTTGTAGCAATGTTTTGGCAGAATCTCATATGCCATCATCAGGCTTCATATATATATATATATATATACACACACACTATATATATATATACACACACACTATATATATATATATACACGCTGCACACACACACACACACACACACATTACCTTGGCTTTTACAAACTGGACAATGGGTCCAAGTTCTGAAACTACTTGATTTCCTACATGAATAAAGGGCACTTTTCCTGTGGGTGAAAAGAAGAGTATATTTCAACATTCCTCACCAACATAGCATTCTGAACCAGAATTTATTAACAGATATCCAGTGAAACTCAGATTTCAGTTTTGTGTTTGAGTATCTGTTTTGAAAGATGTATGAAAATATAGGTTTATAGAATTTGTTCTAGGCAAAGGTAGTTGATCCTTTCCTGATTATGAATCTCTGTGAAATGCTACAATCGTTATAAAAAACAAAATCAAGTATCTTTGACCTATCATCATCATCATCAAAATTATAGCAAAAGAACAGTTTAATACAACAATTGTTAGAGGTGGGGGGGGGAAGTAATGGAACAATAAAACAACACGTATGATTTTTTAAAAAAATCAGAGTTGTGAGACTTGGTTGTCATTCAGTGATACCAAGACCTCAGCTCTTCCTAAAAATCTGGCCTTCTGCATTCAGGGAATTCTGGTAACACACAAATGCTTCTTATTCACACAGAAGAGTTATTGGGGATGGACAGTTTATGTCAGGCCACATTTCTTTGTAAAAGCTTCTACACAGTTACTTCTGATTCTTTTGTAAACCAAAGCCCCCAAATGACAAGAATTTTCTCCTGTTGGAGGATTCATGATCGAGACTATAACTACCCTGAGCATCAGTTATTAGCAGAAAGGCTACTACACATGCATACATATGCACAAGCATGCATATTTTGTTTTGGTATGAATCTGCACCATCAATTGACTGAAAAATAGATCATATTTCTTCCAGAGGTGCAGGAAGATGCAACTGTAAAATCAACTAGCCTCCACACAGTACATTAATAACAAATCAAAGACTGTTGAAACAAATGTCTCAAAATCCCGCCACTTCATATTTGTTCCAAATACTAAAGTTGCTGGACTTTAAAATATAGTATTGTGTCAGTTTCACAGAAGTTGTGTAAAATATACAACATACAGAGTTTAAAAAAATAATACCCATGAACAGCATTCAGGGTAACTTCTGGCAAGAGATGCATTGGTGATCCAGCCAGTCTTTGTGTTTTCAAAAAGGGGGGAAAGACATGTATCTATTACTTTTTATTCAAAACTACTGGATATAATTTGACATCAATTACTGATTTTCCTATGAAATGTAAAATTTTCATTTTGAGACACTGAAAACTTCAGTCACTAAAGCACCAACGGTAACCTAATTTTTAACCTAATTTTACCTTCCTCTACTTCTTCCTATACCCCAATAAAAAGTCCTGAAAAATTCAAAAGGTTGCGTACTCTTTTATGACATTTGACCTAGCTATAATAAAGCTATCACCCTACTATAATTCTAATAAAAATAGTTATCTGTGCTAACTCTGTGCTCATACCTTAGTGACAACCTCATCAGAAATTGAGCAAGCAGTGAACTTAGGTGGCCTAGTGTTCCTTTGTTGACACTGAAAATCTATAATCCTAAAACCTCTTGCTGTGAAATATGGGTAGTCCTCAACTTACGACCACAATTGACCTCAAAATTTATGTCGTTAAATGAGAACTTGTTAGGTGACTTGCCCCATTATATGACATTTCTCACCACAGCTGTTAAATGAATCACTGCAGTTGATAAGTTAGTAGCCTAGTTGTTAAGTGAATTCAGTTGCAAAAACTAATCATATGACTGCGGGACACTGCAATGGTCATAAGTATGAACCAGCTGCCAAACATCTGGATTTTGATCACATGATCATGGGGATGTGAAAAACTGTCGTAATTCACTTTTTTCAGTGCCGTTGTAACTTTGAACAGTCACTAAATGAACTGTGGTAAATCAAGAACTACCTGCAATGTCAGTCTCTTCCGTGAAGGACTACACAAATAACTGTGAAGGTTAAATATTGTCCAACGGATATTTGGAATATTCTTGCTTTTACTTTTATTAAGGGAAAAATAAAATCTTGGTCACGGACAGTTCCACTGGCTCAAAAAAAAAGGAATTGCAAGCAAGCCTCTGCACACTGACATATACTGCAAAAGGAATGCAGGGCCTTTTGAACTTCTAGACCTCTTTATGTTCCTATCAATCAAGCTTTTACTTCTACGGAACTCCTATGTTGTATACAGAATGAGCTTGTGGTGTTCCTACAGCAAGAGTCAGCATATCAGTGCTCTCACAAGGTGCGAGTTAAATGCTCTCTTATTAACAGATGGAGAGAAAGAGAGCAGCGCCAAGCAAGCTGTCCTCAAATGTGGAATCTCATAAAAAGGAGGAAAATTCATTAATGGTTCTGAATTGTAGGTTTTGGACTTGTAGAATTAGGACCACAATTTCTGCCACAATGTTATGTACACAGAAGCTCTGTTTATCCAAGCACTAATTTATAGGAAAGCATGCATATGATAATGCATGATAAAAAGGCTTTTGCGGTAGGCAGCAGGAAATGCTTTCAACCTGCCAACTCAAAAAACTGGGGGGGAAAATATTCCCATTAACATTGAATTTTGCTTTATTTCCTTTTACCACAGTTAATGGGGAATAAGAACATGCCACATTATTGGCTAATTAGCAGGCTATCTTCATAGAAAGCAGTGTACATATTCCCAATAGTTCTAGGCCATAAGGGGACATGCCCAGACGATGAAATTTAGGAGAATACGTCTCAGTGAATTCAGTCCCACGATACTCAGTCGAAGCATCTTTTAGCCTGCATGGATTTCACTGTTAAGAAGCCCAGCTGTGCCCACTGCACACACATCTTGTTTCCTGCAATGAGGAAAGTTATGTCTGCATATGAATATGCAGGTATGCTACCGTATTTACTCTGCAAAGATCTGGCTGACCTCTAGGTGGAAGCAAAGAGTTATATTTTTCATTATCTCTTTGTTGACATTTAGTGGTTGTCTGGATTTTGCAAGCCAGATATGATAGTCCTACTCTTCACCTACAATGAAGTGTGGGAAACTCCTTTCTGAACATACCCCCTTTAATAGATAATAAGCCTCAAATGTATGAATTACCAAAAAAAAATGCTACTTTTGTTTATGAGACCAAATGAGCATAGAAGCAGCCTGTATATTTGAATATAGAATTGCCCCAAATTAGAAGAGGATGTTAAAAGAGGACCTGCTTATAAAACCTGAAATGGGTACATAAGGATGTATATAATAATCCATTACCTCCATCTGTGCCCTCTCTCTTCAATCATTCTGAGAGCTCAATTCTGTAAAGTAATCTTTGTTAGGGTATTAAAAGAAAAAGCTGCTCAAAGGTAGAATGTAAGAAAGGAGACAGGTCATATCATCTAATGTTAAAACCAGACTCTTCCATCTACTTCCATCTTGACTAAGGCAGTTCACATTTAAACACATAGAACTGTTAGCAGTATGTTTACCTTGGCCTTACAATACTGCCGTTTAATACAGTTTAATGATGAAAAGGTATTATTTCTGTTTCTTGCAAGAAAAAAAATCTGTAGCATAACAAGAAACAAGCTACTGCATAGTGCAGCACACGGTAACTCCAACCGATCTCCAAGATGAGATACTGTTGCCATAGTTTCCAAGCACAGGTGTAGTGTAAATGATTGGTACACTTACCAGATGGGGACATATATTCTGCATTTGCCCTACAAACCACCTGGACTGGCAGATTGCACATTTGTAAAAAAGCCTGAAAATAAAGAAGAGTAAATTAAAATTTTCCACATTATAAGAAAGCAAAACAATTTTTTTTTAGCATTTGTAATTTTAAGCCACAAGAAATATTCCTTTATTTATCATTATTTTCCAAAGCAGATAAGTAGGAGAACCATACTTCTAGGTACTGGCGTTTAACACTGCACTTATCACAAAGTCACCACTCTGGATGCAACTATAAATGAAGAGAGAATTACAGCAATCTGAAATATACAGCATCTCCATTTTCTTGTACTTTACTGTGATAACCTCTCTCTTAGAAAAAACTACACACAAAAAAAACTTTACATTCCGTTTTGGCAATAATGATTACTGTTGGTTTAAAATGAATTGATGAAACCTTCTGCTATAATACCGATTTTTCATGGAACTTAGCCCACAATTAAAGTGTAGCCCAATTCACATTTTTAAAAAGATGCCATTCTGTTGTCCTTCTGTTAACTGTAATCAACTATTAAAGGTGCCCAATCTACATCATGTAAAGCTGCCATATATGTACCTTGCATTAAACAAACCCGAGCTGACTGAAAAATAAATCCTGGCTCTCCTAATGGACTAGAAGCTTAGGAGCTTTAACTGTGGGTAAGGATCCCCTAGGAGACATCTCTATTTAGAAATTTCTCACTCCTAAAACAGCAAAAGTCTTAAGATATTTGAGCCTTCAACAGGTCAGCTCTGTAAACAGACAAGAGTGGTTAACTTCTAAAACATATCAAAGCTAGACCAATCAAACAGACTTTTTGTGGCTATACCTGAAAATGAGAAACAGTGGGCAGCAATGGCAAAAGTATTGCTCCCTAATAAACCTTTTGCTTTGATTCTCAGATTCTTCCACAACAGAATACACATTCCAGACAAGCAAAATTTCCATAAACCTATTCCCACAAAACAACACGAAGAGGGGAGATTTCCATAAACTATGAAGAAAGATTCCAAGCTCAGATATTTTGAGTAACACCAAAGCTTTTCTGGAATTGCATATTATTATATTTATCTTATAAATAAATCAAAGGCAGTCCTAGTAGTACTGTAATGATTAATATTTAAAATACGGCTGTAGAGAATGTCAATATGCAGACACTGAAGGGGAATCTGCATTTTCTTTCATTAAAAAAATGACAAGTGGAAAAAAGTGGAAATTATACAACATGAACTAATGCACAAAATATTCCAGTTTTCCTATCAAGCAGTGGCAGATGCTGTAAATTGCAACGTCTGTCTAAAATTATAAATGAAAATGGTTCAATATCATTCTTGGAATGATAGAGTATATGCCTAATGCAGTTATGATAATGGTCGCATTTGTAGTTTAACATAAATTAAGAGTTTAATTATATTTGTGACTACTTGAAACAAAGTAACACGTTCTTTTGTACCTGCAAATGTAATTTATTGCAAAGCCAGGTTCATTTTCCAGAACAATCAGTTTTATACTACCCTGGAATGCTGCTGTAATGTAATTCCTGCTGCAGAATGTGTGAAGAGTACGTTCACTGGTACCACAGAGGAGGCTTTGAAGATAAATGAAGATGCTATTCATTCAGGAGTAATTTCATCTTAGAACCATATGAAAGATGTTTCACTCAGCCACGGTAGATGCCTGGCTTGGGATTTCAGTCTATTTTCAGCTCCGGTGTAATGTTGTTAAATCGATTATGTTGATACTGTATTTCTAATCATGAAGAATTTCAGCTATTATTCTACTTAAAGAATGGATTGTCAGACTTGCATTATAATGTTCGGTCTCTTTCCAGTTTACAACACAATTACAGTTTCAAATCACAAACTGAAATTATAAATTCGCACTAAAAGAAACACAACTCAGTAAAATGAAAATCAGATAGTCTGCAGCAGCCTGTTTAAAAAAACACACACACACTAATCATTTAGAGAAAAATGATCCTTCTTCTCACTATAAAAAACTAATGAGCTTCCAATGCATCATGAAAGTTTCTTTCAGGTTTTACTTTAATTGTGTTTATGTTTCTATGTTATGCTTATGCTTGGTGACCAAACTCCATCATCTTTCTTCATATACATACACAATATAACTTGGAAAGCTATATGGGATATATTACCGTATCATTTAATTACTATATTTACATCACCAAGCCATGAAGGAAGACTATGTGATGCTCCCTATTCAATTTTAACAAGGGTACAGATTCAGACATCCCAGGACTGTATGATATCATACTGCACTTAAATACATTTCAATATATTGATTTAAATCAAATTTAGTTTGGTCTTGTTCATGCTGATGCTTTTACATGCAGTGCAGGCACATCATACAAAGGATGTTACATCCTTAACTCCCCAAAAAGTTTAGCATCCTTCCATTAAAACACTAAGTTTACAAAGCAACTGACATTGTTACTTCCTATGTACATTGTATTACTTTTCCATTCTTTCCAAAGATGAAGCAGCGAAGCTTCTTTCTGAATATGCATTTCACTGAAAGCTGGAAAGCAAAGCAGCTGAGATAAAACAAGTAAATATAGTTACTAATATATAACTTAGAAGAACAAAGCAGGGTTAAATGTGAGTTTGTCTTTTTACACATATATATATATACACAAATCAATTTTAAATAGGTATACATATATAGAGATCAGATATGAGAGAGAGAGAAATACAGGTGTATTGCACAAAAGAATTTATCTAAAGGGGAGAAAATAATTTCTGCCCGAATAGTGATCTGAGTCAGATTCATAGTAAAGCAATCAGCATGTCTTTATAATCTCTACAATCCTAAGAATATTTATCACAGAAAATTACCATTCCAGTCCCAAAATAGGAAATAGAAGATATCAAACAACAAATCATAAAATTCCAAATGTTTGAAACCTATACCTGCATATCCTGACTAGAAAAATATTAGGAATTACTTTACAGTATTTTTCCCCCTTTATTTCTCGGCAGAAAGTACACAAACAGAAGGAAGGGTAAAATATTAACAATCTTATAAAAAATGGAGTGAAGAAAGAATCTACAGAGCATATTCGAAAAACAGGAACCAGAGACTTCTCTTCATGTTGACCATCTCACTGACTCTTATTAATCTTCTTTCTGGATTGGTTCAGAGAGAATTTAATGTAACAGATTTCTGTCTCACTAGTTCTGCCTTAAGTTTCTTCAATTATATTTCTGCAGCAATTTGTAAAATCTCTGTTAAAATCCTCATTTCAGAATGTACACATTGTTGCCCAAAAAAATCTTTGGTTTTTTTTCATACCATATACATCACAGATAAATCTATCTGAGGATAAGCTGACCCTCAAAATTGCAACCAAAATATATCTACCATGAAAAATATGTCATCCAGAACAACCCATATTTAAAATGGAATCTGTTTTAGAAAACAAACTTAGTTGATAAAAAATATAAAAACAAATGAAGTCCTTTAAAATTTACTGAAAACAACATACAAAAATTATCAAAATGTTTAAAAATCTCCATCTTTATCATCTAATAATTCAAAAAGATATTCAGATATTGTAATACAGCATCATCTCTATTTTCCTCACCTTCATCTTTGTCACTGGCATCTGCTCTGGCATTGCATCATCTTCTATTCCATCCATGGCAGGGATGTCAAACTCGATTTCATTGAGGGCTGCTTCAGGGTTGTGCTTGACCTGGGGGGGCATGGCCAGGGGTCATGGCCAGCTTGACATCAGTTGTGTTGGGGGCGCCAGTGGTGGCTCAAGTGCTCTGCAAGTGAAAACGGGCTACCAAGCTCTATTTTGGGCTGTGATGGCCTCTTGTAACTCTCTGCCAGCAAAAACGGAGCTTGGGAGGGCTGCATGTGGCCTTCCCAAGCTCCATTTTCACTGGCAGAGGCACCACAGGCCAATCCTTCACCATTTCCAGGGTGGCCCCATGGGCCAGATCTAAGCACCCCACGGGCCTTGAGTTTGACACCCCTGATCCATGGCATTGTTGATGCCACACTTCAAACCATATCCAAAGAAATATTTTCCCATGTATCATTCATCCATTTTTCTATCACCTCTATATTTGGTTCTTTAAAACGTACCTTTTCTTTAACTTGTGTGTGCCAAATATTGTCTGTAATATGTATTCTAAAACATGTTCCAGATGAGAAAGGAAGGTCTCTTTGTGAAAGCAGGACCAAGCCATTTGTCCCAAACTGCCTCAAGCCAGTGTCTTGTACCATACTTGTCCAACGTTTTCCATGGGAACACGCATTCATTCTCACTCTCTCTCACACACATGGGGGGGGGGGGGCTTTGAGAGCTTTTTTCACTTCATAATAGTATCTGGATAGATCTTAGTTCCACTTGTTAAACATGAATCACAGTAAAATGATTCTTTTGATTTCCCAATGATTTAATTAAAATTGTTTTTTTTTAACCAATACTTGTCAATTGTAATTGAACTGCCTCAATTTTATCCATATTTCTAATATCACCAAGTTTGTACGCATAATGCTTAAAGTTATTTAAGATATTTTTTTTTCAAAGGAAACAATTTTTTCTTCGAGAATTTTGGGTAGCCCTTGAGAAACTTTATTTCACTGTCTCAAACAAAGTATGCATCTAATCATGAATTTGGAACACCAGCCAACAGAAAAACAGAGAGGTACTAGGCCCTCAGCCTCATATTTTTCAGACTTCGCCATCTGAAGTGTTCCAAGACAAACATTGTCTGGTAGTAAGTGTGCAAGTAACTTTCTAGTGCCGAGACCAAAGACACTCCATATTGGTATGCCTTCTTCCAAGTTGATGTCTTTTCTAAACTAGCTTTCATCTAGGTCATCTTCAAGACAACTTTAGAAACCTACATTATTTAATTATTAGAAGATTAGATGTCATTATTCATGTAATGTGACTACACACTTGTAAAGAAAGACTACACTGAACAAAAATCAAATGACATAAAAATGTAATGTCCTCCAGTATAAAGTGAAAAACTGCACAAAAAATATACTCAGATAATTTATGTTGTAAT